TTTACAACTCTTCTTGATATGCTTGAACTATTGAATTGCATGAAATGTGGATGGAGTGTCAATAAAGCTGTTGGGTGTGTGTGTGTGTGTGTGTGTGTGTGTGTGTGTGTGTGTGTGTGTGTTTAAGGTATGAATAAGGCAGTTTAAGAGCAGGAAATTTCAGGGCGTTGCTAGCAACAAGTCTAATTATACACTTACATAGCACTTTATAAATGACAAAGTTGTTCTACAACACATTAAGGCCCAGCTTTTTTGCCCTGGTAATGAATGATGGATGGGGAAAATTCTGACCTTTACCTGTACAGCACCAGAAGGGTGGAAAGAATGTCATCCCATTTTAGGAAGAGCACAGTGGCTTAGAGAGGTATGGGGGTGGGGGGAGGGGGCACTTGGCCAAAACTGTCAGGAAAATCTTGATTTAGGTTTTAACCCTCTCGCTTCAGAGCTGGAGTTTCTCGGTTTTTCTCTTGCGTGGACACTGCCCTAATACTTAGTGTGTGTCCTGAAGTCTTCCTCTGAAGCCCACCCGGTCTGGGGCCCAACCATCGCCCAGCTCTAGCGGCTGGCCCATGGAAGCCGAGCAAGTGCGGGAAGGAAGCTGTATTGGAAAGGCTGCACAGGGCTTTCTAATGTAGGAGCGGCCACCATGCACCATCCCTGCGGGGGGGCCCCCTGACCATGACCAGAGACTCCTGACTAGCTTGGTGCTGGATCCCAGACTCCATAGGAACGCTAAATCAAAGTCTCCAACTCACGTTAACACATATTTACCCTTTTACTTGCGTTCACACACGTGCCTGAAGGAGTCAGGTAGGGCCAATGCTACCCTGGTTTGCGATCCGCGGAAAAGCAAAACGAAAAATGAAACCCAGTGCCCACCCACTGGTCGATGCAGATGTGCAGAGACCCAATAGGAAAGAACAGAACTGCGCCCTATGGCTCCCACAGCTGTAAATCCCCATGGAAGTAAACTGCCCCAGAGTTTGGTAGCCGAACGTTTTAATCACGGTGCCACGAGGACGCGTATGTATTCCAGAAGAGGGACACATTGAAGCGGCGGTTACTTGGGACCCAGGCTGGACTCAGCAAGGAAGTGCCAACGAGACTGGGCGGGCGGACGGGGGGCGGGAGTTGGTGGGGGTGGGGTCCGTCTGCGCTTGCTCGTGAGGCGTCCTGGGGGAGGCGGGGCTGGGAAGGGTGGAACCAAGAGGCGGGGCCTGAGTGGGCGGGGCGAGTAGCTGGAGAAAGCGAGAGCCGGGAAACCCTGAGCCAGGGGACCAGATTTTCGAGATGGACGCTGCCGGACACTCCGTCACGCTGGGCACCTGCCAACGTTCGGGGCTAGCCAATCTGATCAGTCGGGAACGAACCTCTCCTCGGCCAGAGTCCCCAAGCCCGGGAAGTGTGGGGGCTGTGGTGTCACCGCTCCAGAGGGGGCGCCCTTGTGACGTCACAGAGCTGGGCAAAGGAGAAACTGTCGCCAACTCTTGGCCCTGGAGCGGTTGTCAGCGGTTTGTGTGACGTCACGGTGTCCGTGGGCGGACGGCTCGACGTCAGGGCGCCACAGAGCTCGGGGAGGCGGGTTAGGACGCCTTGGAGACGGCTCTCGGGGCTCCAAGAATCAGGCAGCGTAGGATAGGTCAGGTCGCAAGTCACCCTGGCCCTGCGCACTAGGCTGCCTGCGTCCGCCACCCCAGACGCGAGCCCTGCTTCCCGCAGCGTCCCCTCCTGCACCCCGAGTCATTCCCTTCTCCTGGGACGGAGGAACCCGAGCCTCCTTCTCTCTGAAAGAAGTCCCCGCGGGCTGCTGGGTCTCCAGGGCTCTCCCGATCTCCCAGGCGAGCACCTGGCTGCTCCGGGGGCTGTCGCGCGGGGGGAGGAGCCCAGCAAAGACCCGGCAGGTTTTAGAAGGGCCCCGGCCGAGCGCCTGCCGGCCGCAGCCACTGGAAAGCGTTCTGGAATGCCGGCCCAGAAGCGCTCCGAGAGTCACGCGGTTCCCGGACTCACCCTCCCGACAGATGAAAGGTCTCCGGGCCGGGAGAGTAGAAGTTGACTCCTGCAGGCTGAAGCAGGCAAGGGAAGCCACCCAGCACTGTGAGCTCTTTCCTGGCCCCTTTCCTGTGGCTCCTCGCCCGAAGGGAGAAGAAAACGGCCCCCAGCCACGTGGACCTGGAACTGCACATTTGGGGGGTGGGGGGGGCTCTGCCAGCCCGCGGGCCGCCTCCTGCCCTTCTTACACCTACAATCGTAGTTTAGGCACAGTTTATAAAACCATTTCCAGGAGTATAAACCGCTGCGAGCTCCTCTGGAAAATGGCCTCCGGCCCACCGGGAGGACAGTAACCGCCCATCGGGATTTCTGGGTTGGCTTCAGAGCTGGGTACACCCAGTTTGATTCACGCACACCTGCCTCCCCCCACCCCCACCCCGCCTGCGTTTGGAAGAGGGAAAACAGTCACATTTAACCTTGAAAGTCCTTCGGTTGTAGGAGTTAGGTAGGATAGATGGGCAGGGGCTCAGAGCGCCAAAGGTGAGCAGGAATACAAGGACCTCACCCTCCAACTTCTAACGTCTGAATCCCTAAGATGCCCTGGAGGGAGACCTGGCTAACTGCTCAGGTTCTGTAACTCCAGGTGTCCTGGGGTAAGATGAGCTGGGAGATAGGGGTTGTGGGTGGGAGTGGAAGCAAGAGTCCACCCCTCCTCCCCCTGTTAAAACGGAATTCTTGAAAGAGCTAGGTGACCCAGTGTGGCTCTCTGGAGTCCCCAGAGGTGCCCAACCCCCTCCTTAGCTGCTGTGTGTGATGGATGTGTACCCACGCATTCTGCATCATTTTCACCCACCCTGGCAAAGGAACACAGGACAGCGCCAAGCCCGGACCACAGTGTGGCTTGTAGATTGGGTCTATGCCATTGGAACCCCCAAAACGCCGGCTAAACCCCCAAGTACTCGCACCCAGCGACCCCAATTTCCTGATCAGAGCTGAGCTCCAATCTTTCCCAAGGTCTACCTTTGTGGGACTGAGTGGCAGAGGGATTGGGATCTGGTGGGGCCAACGGAGATCCCACAGGCCTGCGCCAGCCTCCCTCCCCTCTCTCATAGAGAGAACTCGGACAAATCCAGAAGGCTCTGTAGGGCGCTATGAACCTTGTGGGCTGAGTGGGAGAGTTAGGCGGGGTGGGACAGAACACAGGCGCCAGGAGTCCTGGGCCGCCCCTCAGGCCTGGCCAGCAGGGGGCAGCGCAGAGACCCAAGCCGAGAACCGCAGGCCACACCACTGGGCAAACCAGGGTCCCAGGTGTCTGCCAGGGGTTCAAGCCCCGCTCCTGCCCCTGGCCTTCGAGGAGGTGGGAATGAAGTAGTACACGGCGAAAGAATAGTAACTCCTCCAGTCGCTGCCGGATTTCCGCAGGACCCTGCCTGAGGCTGGCGTTTTGGATCCCTGAGGTGGGGATGCTCTGCTGGGCTGTATTTCCTCCCCCCCATCTCCCCTGCTTTGAGCACCGGGCACTGAGGGCTCCGCTGAGCAAAGGCCACGGAAGCTACCGCCTGCCGACCCCATGGTCTGGGTGCTGGCATGGTGGGAGCCCCGCCCCAAGTCAAACAGGAGAGCCCCCAGCGGCCGGGCCCTTAATTGTGGGAAAAGTAGGATTCCAGGGGAAAATTCAATTTGTGGAGGTGGGACTCAGATTTCTCCACCTAAATCTCCCCTTCCTCCCAGGACGCCTGCCCCAAGTCCTCCCCCAGGAGGCTTTCAAATGGCGGGCGCAGAGCCCTCATCAGGACTGGCAGAATCCTCTCCAGAGCAGCATATTGGGGGAATTCTAAGGGAATTGGGAGAAACGAAGGTTTGGAATTTAGGTGGCAGCAGTGATTAGGAATCGATTCTGCAGCCTCCTGGCTTGGGGACCAGGGAGTGGAGCACGCGGGGCAGAACTGATCCGAGGTTGTGAAGGAGGGTCCGGCTGCATCTTACGCACCAGTATGAATTTGAGGAGTGGGCTGACGTTGTGTCTTGTGTGAACCCTTAGCCTACCTGAGCATCCAAAAATGCAAGCATTTCTTGTGGCCCACGTTGGCCTCAGGTCAGCCTGCACTGTAAACTTAAAGCCCTTTGGGGGAGAGAAAATAGGGGGTAAGGGGTAGACACTGAGCCCCTAGAGTCTAGGGCCTAGACTAGAGCGAAGAAGAAAAGCAAAAAAACAAATACGGAGTTGGGCCAGAAGCCAGCCAGCACTGTCACCCTGATAGGGTGGGGAGAGGGAATCGGAGCAAGCCTTTGTCAGAACCCTCCTCCTTCCGAAGAAAGGAGCCGCCCAGTCTCTAGCGTTTTGGAGGGAAATTACCCATCCCGCAATGCCTGTAAAATAACCGTTTATTTAATATTTTTAAAACTCCAGTGATAAATGTCCGTTACCGATGGTCAGCATAAAGTGCCAGTCGCAATGCAGCGCCCCGCTCCGAGCCGACTACTCGCCGGCGGGCACAGGGCGGCGGCGGCAGCGGCGGCGGCGCAGCGG